CCTCCGGCTATTGGGTGAATTGACACCACCGAGCTCTAGGGTTTGAAGACCTGCGCCTGCCGCTATTTCTTTGCACTTGCGGCCGCTATTGTAGCGGATTGCAGCGCCGCTAACTTTCTGCGTCTGGTTTCGGGCAGGCGCTTCTCTGGCTTGTCGGCCTCAAGACACCCTGCCACCTCCCAGGTGGTGCTTTTCTTATCTCATTTGCGCTGCGTGGCCTCCGAACAGCGTCCGACGGCTTTGGGGTTTAGCGGGGCCTCAATGGTCTCTTCCCCTTATTCCAAGTCACCGTTTTCGCAAGGTGGGTCTGGCTTTATGGGAGTTTAGGCGTTTGAGCCATAAGGCTCGTGGTTGGGGGGGCGGACGTCTTTTAGTAGTTTACTTAGTACCCAGGCCGCGTAGTGTACGTGTTTGTAGATAGCGAGCGGGCTGCCATCGAGCACCGCTATATAAATTGTTGATAAAAAAAAAAAAAAAAAAAGACGTCCAACCCTGACTTTGAGTTCAGTGACGTACTTGTGTGCTTCACCATGGATATCCCACCGCAAAGCGGATGGGACGTAGACAAAGGTAATGCGGTGGAGATCATCCTCCTCAAACCACTCTTCAAGAGCGCGACAGACTGACAGGCTAAAAGCCTGACCAGAGTGCACGCCGGGGTCAACCGCTCTATGGGCCGAGCCCATAGAGTCAGTAAAGACCATGATATGTTGGCAGTTTGCCTGCTTGACAGCAAGGCGCACTGCACACGAGATGGCATTGAGTTCCGCATCAGGGGCGGTAACTCTGCCAGAGACATAGCAAGTCCTCTCGAGCTCGCGATGTCCCTTGTAGATGATGGCAGCTGAAGCCGCCTGATACTGGTTGGACTGAGGGACGGAGCCGTCGGTCGCAGCCAGCACTGTTAGTGGGTCGGCCCTCGCTCTCGCGATGAGCTCGTCTAGATATGGGCGCCTATCCTGGCCAGGGTCGCGCTCGTCAAAATGGAGACAGTCCGCATAGCGGTCCAGTAACCGATCACCGGGGCGAGCTTCGGGCGCAAAGGGCTCGAAGCTCTCAGTTAAGGTGTGGACACGCTCGTCCACTTCCATGACAGTGCTCTTGACTTTCCCTCGCATGGCTGGGGTCATCAAGGCGGCGGAGCGAGCATGTGGTGCGGCTCGCTTGAGGAGTCCCTCGCCCATCATAGAGCGAAGAGGGTGGGTGTCCGAGAGGGTGGCTACACGATACACTGCGTGTGTTGCCAGCTTCTTCAGCATAAGGTGGACAGGAATGAGGCCCACTAGAGCCTCAAGACCGCCCGTGGGGGAGGTGTGGAAAGCACCTGTAATCCGAGGTCAACTGGTTCATTGTAGCCCTTATTACGGGCGCCATCGAAATACCAGAGACGATAGCCGTATGTGGCAATGGGAACCACACACGACCAATATAAGAGGCGGCGCTGTTTAGGCGAGAGACCTCTAGTAGAGTTCCCGAGCATGCGCATGGCCTGCACGGTGGTAAATGCCTTGGTGGCATAGTAGCGAACGTGCTCATGAAATGTGAGCCCGTGGTCAAAGTAGAAGCCCAGATACCTCCAAAAGGTCTTGGGCTTCAAAGGTGTAGCGCCTGTATGTGGGGTGTACCCCAAATCCAGCGAAGGATTATAGGCGTCTCGTCGACGCGAAAAGTGAAACCTTGTGTGTTCAAGAAC